CCAGCTGCTCCTAACCGACATATCAGTCACCAACTGGTCGAAGTTTGAGTTGGCTATCGTTTGCTTGGTTGATAGATCTACACTATAAAGCGAAAGATGATGTCAATCAACAGGTAATGATCCGCATTTCTCAAATTCTGACGAGAAAAGCATACCCTTCGATCGTTTCAGGCAAGCTATACTCCAGCATGAGTAAGATAAAGGAAATCGCATCGGTCATCCTAACGAGCGCATCGTATAGACCACTTATGCCAATGGCTTGTGGTGGCTAATAGCAACATTCATTCAGATAATCATGTCATTATGTTATTAACGTCGTTTTCAAGGAAGGTGAATAATGATCATTTAACTCACCGCCGTCAGAGGACCACTCTCGAGGTGATGCAGGGTTTTTAAATCAGGATGCCTACAAAAGTGCGAGCATTATCGATTAGGGTGACCCTTAGAGAGCAACGACATCACGATAAGATCCTTACTTGTCACAGAATTTCTTGAGGTTTAACAACTTTTTGACAATATATTGAAGCTTTTGTTCAGGAATGCTTGTATCCAGCCGATTTACGTTTGTGGCATTTGGACTAAACGAGACGTGTAAAATGGGTTATTTTTACTAAAAAGATCCTAGGCGTTGACAATGTTAGAGAGGTCTCTCACAACCGACCTTAATTTAAGTATTCGCTGCCTCCATACGGGTCGAAGAATTCTCGCTAAGCAATATCCAAATCCTTCAAACAAAGTCTTATAATCTAAGAAAAATTTTTGGATGGCATATCAAACAATCATTATAAGGATGACTCGATAAAGAGAACGCATTATTACGTATGGTAACCTACTAAAGATCTTTAAAAACGAATAGCTTTCTTCATTGGCGATCAAAAAACACATCGCCGAAGTTTGTTCCTCGCCATAGCTAAATTAACATAGGAATAAATGAAAGATATGAATAACCTTTGCCTAGATTATCTTTTAAAAAAAAAAAAAAAGAGAAAAAAAGGACGTAATTGAATTAACCTTACTTATCGATAAAAGCCTTTGACGATTCGCGTGAAGAACCCTTCTTGAGAATGTTCTCTAGATGATCGACAGGCCTCATCTTGTTTAATATAATGATACCTTTATCAAAAGGTTAAAATGAATTCAAATTATTAATAAATCAAAGTACCCTTTGGGGAAGGTTCGTGAAGATCAAATGCACCAAC